ACACACACACGCACACACGCACACACACACACACACACTCACTCACACTCTCACACTCTCACACACACACACACACACACACACACGTTTGTTTGGCTATCTTAGTGAGAACGTCATAGACTTGCATTGAGGTTAATGATATTTTCTATCAGCTAAACAACCCTGACCCCTGAACTCAGCCACCACAGAACACTTACTGCATCTTCACATTCTGACATGAGCTAACTGTCTGCTGACTGCACTATTGAAATCTCTGTTGCACTGTATGCCAGTAGCAGACCTACCAACCTGTGCGTATTCTGTGTAGCAGCTACACATTTTGACCTGTAAGTACACTGTAAGTACACTGGTAAGATCTGTCACTCTAAACTACGCAAAAGTCTGGTGACGCCTCTGAGTTTGTCCACAAGCAACAGCAGAAGAGATTAGAGCGCACCCCAACCCCCCGGTTTTGTGTTGAAATAATCTCTGTGTGTTTTATTTCTTGCATATCATCTTGAATGAGCACCTGTGTTCATTTGTGCTGTTCCTGATGTTTGGTCTGATGTCTGCAGGGACGTGTTCATGGCCTGGTGCGCCATCAGAGGACAAAACTCAACCACCGTCACATAGAAACACATGAACACGGATGAGTGTGTGTGTGTGTGTGTGTGTGTGTGTGTGGACTCACTTTTCAGCGTGAATAAGAACAGCAGAAAAACCCATCAAAGACTCGACGTTGAACTGTTAAATGCTGCTTCACATGCACACACTGACAGAGAAAAGCAGCAAAAAAAAAAAATGTTTAGGATGGAAAAAATTAATATTTAAACAGATTTGTAACTATATATGAACGGATGGAGGCCATTTTTACCAGGTGTGTTTGTTCACAGCTGAAACACATTTTATGCAGGTACAGAAACCCGTGCTTGGGTTATGGATTGCAATCTGAAATATTTCACAATGCAACAACACACAAAATCCAGCTTTGCTTAAAGCGGCTGTGTTTTTACACCTGCATAGAGGGTGTTTCTGCCGTTGAGCACGTGTGTGTGTGTGTGTGTGAGTGAGTGTGAGTGTGAGTGTGTGTGTGAGTGAGTGGGAGTGTGAGTGTGTGTGTGTGTGTAGGGCCAGTCTCTCTCT